GGGGGGGGTGGTGGGGGAAGCAATCCACATGGATCAATGTTGTTTAGAAGCTAAAACTTGAATCCTCTAGATTATTTATTAATTCAGAGTCAACAAACTAAAATTGAAATCCAAAATAATTTGCAGTTTTTTAATTTCTTGTACGGGCAGGATTAGAGCACTATCCAACATGCAATATACACAATAACAATAGCATATACCTGCTAAATCTTGATTCTCTGTTATGGTGCCTGTTGAATTTTTGTTATTGAGGCCCATATTGGCCAAAATGTGTAAAGGAAACTCCTTTTTTCAAGAGTATGACTCTTTTCCATCACCATGAGCTCTTTACTAAAATCAGGTCTCAAATTAGAAAAAGGAAATGGTGCAAACTTCTGAAAAACAATTATACACAAGGGTAGCTCTATAACTAAATTTTTATGCATGCTCAATATAATTTCTATTTTCAATGTAATAGAAAACGTTTGTGAGGTTTTTGTCATCTACCTTAACAAGGAGATATTATAGCATGATTTGAGGTATTAGAAGTGCTCCCTCTTAATCTTCTCTTGGTTGATACATATAAATACGTTCCTACCATCCTTTCTTTTGGATCTTCATTTCCATTAATTGCTTGTGATGAAAACATGGAAATTAGTAAGAACTTAAATGCCTTGTGCTGACCTTTGGCTGCTAGTTTTGTGTGGTGATAATTCTTCTTTTACATATCTGCTACAGTTGTTTATTTGGTTCTAAGTGGAAAGCCTTTGGTCATGATTCCTTACTTTTATTGTGTTCCAGGGCTGAGAAGCCAGTAATGGCAATCCCTTGGTAAAACTGTGAAAACTAACATTATCAAGAATTGTTCTATCATAAGCTATAAAGATAATGAACCTAAAATCCGAAATCCAAACCAAACTTTCAATACCCTTTATACAGTTGATAGAGCACCCCAAGGTTTTCTTGTGAACAACAAATTACTGTCTATTTGCTTTATGAATCACACATAGTTAGATCATGTGCTAAAATAAAAAATCTTTTAATGTACACAAACCATGCTTACAGATTTTATTAGCTATGGATTATTTTGGCTGGTCGATTTCTCCTCTTTTTGCTCCTCTGTGTGTTGTAAACAACAGATTCTAGAAATTTCCTTTTGATTTAAAATTGTGCGCATTTTCATTCTTCTTAGAGCAATATTTGAGCCAGTCAATGTGCCCTGGATATGGATGTTAAACTGTCATGTTCAATTTCGAATTGTTTGGGCAGTTTAAGATGTTATAGTGCTATTTGATGCTGAGATTTTCTTTGGGGGTGCTGTCTAGAGATTTTAAAGGAACAGAATGGGGGTTTTGCTTGGGGGGGAGGGAGGATGTTTGGGCTGGGTTTCATTGTGAGGGGTTTGTCGTTGATGGTAGGTGAAATTTTGATTGACACGTGTTAAACTTGCCTTGATTGTAAGATGCCTCATTTTCAACTCTTCAATGATTCTGTTGTATCCAGTTCTATGACATCAAATATCTTCTAACAAACTTTTTCTTGTTCTCCCTTTTGTAGACGGACTCTTCTGAAAATTGGGATTCAACAACTCTAGTTTTGCGACGTTCTGGGTACCAAATTAAGAGCAACGGAAGGGGAAATGTAGTGATTGCGGAGAAATTTTCAAAGGATTTATCTGTATGTTGTTTTCTTTCACCACTTTTCCCTTCTGCCTTTTTTTCCCCTGAGGGTAGCATATTAATTTAGTAATTTGACCATTTCTCTTATACATTTTTGGAGTAACTTTGGGCCTTTTGCTACATAAATTTCATTCGATGTACTCTCTGTGTGTGTGTGTGTGTGTACTTGCAGAGTATTCTGCAATGAAAATTTATTCTCCTGTGCATATGGCTTTGTATAGTATTTTATATCCTTTTCACCCTGCAGATAAAAATCCCTGCTGGACTCTCAACACAATTTGTTTTAACATGTTCCAATGGATCTTCTCATCCTCTCAGTACATATGATGTTCGGTACTTACTACCTTATGTTAGATTTTCTATATTTATGTTGATTTGAATGTAATTTCCATTCTACTTTTTTCAAATGGATTGGTATTTCATTTTGGCTCAGCATCAGAAAATGTAAAGCTGATAGGTGGGATGTTGACCAGAAAGATAGTAAATTCCTCAAGGAGCCCTTAGACCTGGCAGGTTTATTAGATTATTGGAAGTGGTTTCCGACTTTCCTCTATGGAGATATAGAATGAAGGCAATACTGCCTTCTTTACAATAACTCCTACTTGCCCCAGTTACTCCTCCCATGTTCATAAAGTTCAGATTGCCATTAGAGTAGAATTAGAGGAAGTGCTGTAGAGAGATGTGATAAAGCCTCATTAATTCCCAGCTAGCACTGTGGACTTCAAACTTGCCTCTCCAAGTGTTTCATGACTTGCTACATGTATTCAGTCCTTCAATGTTAGTTCAACTTGATGGAATGTCAACATTTTAGTAGTTTGTGAAACAAAACAACTAGGTTAATACTTTTGCTTTTGGAAATGCTAGTATTATTAATAAAACCATTTCTTTTGATTTGATGGTCAATATAAATAATCTAACATAATGAGATATGCCATTAGGAAGTGATTAACAAATAAAAAAGTTACACTAAATATCCATATGAACAAATGTGGCAACTAACCAGTGAACTGTGGATCTCTGAATTTTTAAATGATTAGTCAAGCATAAGAAAAATTGAAAGCCACATCAGTTTGTATGAAAATTTTGTATGGTTTATTTATTTATTTAGTTGTTTTTATTGCATTACTCTATACAATATATTGACAAAAAGGAAAATGATGACCTTATGGCTACAATGGCAATGATGGATGATCCACAATGGATTTTACATATTAGAGAGAGAATGTGGAAATCAATTATACATACTTTCATTTCTTTAATTGTGTGAGTTTAGGAGTTTAGGTTCTTATATTCAAGCACCTATTCTTTATTCTAAAGGTTTTGGTTGATAATTGAAAACTTAATCAATTCTTAACTTCTCTGTGGTTCAACTCTCCTCCTCCTTTAATCTCTTTGTCTCACATTCTTCCTGAATTTTCCTCTTTATCCTATGTTGCACAGACAATAACCCTATGCTTGAATCTTTGTGCTGCCTCCATATATTGTAATTCTCATAAATAACTGTGATATAACATTTTTTTATTAAAACTTCTCTGATTGCTTTTTCCCCCCCTGAATATTTCTTCTAGCTTCTAATGCATGGCATAAATTTGCATGGTTCAATTTAGACCAAATGTTTGTTTGTTGGCCGATAAAATTTTGTTAGGATTCTCTTTTCTAAATCAGATAGTAGTATTAGTGACATGACAAATAGTTAAGATCACACCAAATATTTTGCTTTTTCTTATGGATATGATGATGTTTCACCTGATGCTATTGATATACTTCTGCAGAATGCGAGACACTCTTGTGTTGGCAATGAGAATGTTTCAGAGCAAGGTATCTTATTCTTGCATGCGAAAAATTGGTGTCAGTTATCCTATCTTTGGTGTTTTTTTTTTTTTTTTTTTTTAATAAAAGACTTATCCTACTTTGGTTTCTAACATTTATAGTTCCAATATTTGTGGAAATTCTATATCATGTTTAGGAACACATATGGCATGAACAAAACTCATCTGAGAGCAGCTTTGTTGCCTATTTTCACTAAAAGATAGGTGGTTAATCCACACAAATTTTCTATGTGGTTGTAGCTATTGTAAGGCTGTAAATACCATTGAGAGCAATGACTTTAAAGTTCTCTTCTTGGATGAAATATTTGAGAACTCAAACTCACATAAGCTAATGCTCAACGTGTCAGTCAAGTGCAAAAGTTAACAGACAACTGCTTTTGGCAATGCCTGATGTTTGATCAATTTCATTTACATATGCGTGGACACATTGAGCCCTGCTGCTTGCTAACAATAAAATAATTTTCCCTTGCCTTTTCTGATGTGATTTAAGTTTTGATCATCTTACCTGGCGTGCCCCTTTTGGTCAGGCATTGGATGACAAGAGAAAAGGTAGAGCTTAGAGCCGTAGATCCCGTCATATTTCAGTAAAATATTCCTAGTTAATATTCATTCACACAGAAGACAAGGAGAATAAATCTGCAGGGAGGTTTGCTAATTTATGCTTGATTTACTCTACCAATACTCTTCTATCTATTTTCCTTGTGCCTTGTATTGTGGTTCAAATCATTTTTAGACAGTGAATCACGTGTATATGAAGCATAGATATAACAAATGTATAACAGTAAATGTATGTTTGTCTAGTGTTGTCTCATGATTGCCACGCACATGTAGCATAAATTGTCAGGTTGCTACGATCAAATTGCTTTCACAATTTTATTGTCAGAGTTCAATGCTATCTTTTGGTATAATTTTCTGCTCTTGTTTGAAGAAATTAAACCTTTTTTCAACTAAAACTATTAATTCAATGGTAGGTTTTGAATTACGTTTGTAACTTCATAACGATGGGGATGTTCACTGTTTCCTTGGTTTAGGATGTTAATAAATTATTTCTAAGGGATGAATATTATTTTAACCTCTGCGTGTGAGAGAGTAATGCTATTTTACACGAAGATTAGGGTAGGAATGGGCGGGCAAGAAATGCTCATCATTCGGTTGATTTCTGTGCTCATGAGACCTGCGAGTAGGCTTGAAAGAAGTTAATTGAATGTTTGCTTTTAATCTTACGAAATAAATTAAATAATTCTTTTATGGATAAACATAAAATGTTTGGTGGTGGGGTCTGTGTTGAAGGTGGTATAAAGCAGAGTCTCAGATAAATTAGAAAAGATAGAGGGGGAGCTATTGTGACCATGGAAATGTCTGGTCCTCAAGGTCGTGAAAATGGGAGGGGCATGGTACAATTGGAGGTGATGTCTGTGTGGTGAATGGATCATTTTGCAAGAAAGAATGAGGGTGGTGGTGATAGCAATGGCTGAGATGGCGATTTCTGAACTGTTACACAGTCAATATATAGATCGCTCTGTTCACTTATTGATGTTGTCGTTTCGTAGCCCGTGAGGTGGAATATGATTTTTTCGGGGGTGGCGGTGGCCGGCGGCAGGAGTGATGAAAGTGTTTGAAAATATTTCCGGCCCCATCAGCAAACACATTATAAACACGATCAATGTTGAGAGCATGCCTGAATGCTGCCTTCGCGCTGTCATGGATCGTATAGAATCAATTTCAATAAATTTTATCAACCAGGTAAATGACTTCAAAAATCAATAAACACTAACCTTTTTTTTAAAAAATTCAATATACACGTGTTGTAGTTTATTTCAATCAGACGAGTCAATAATTGAAAATAAGTCAGTGATTGACATTAGCAAGGTTTTCGAGCAAGTTGCTCTATGTTAGTGTCATCGTTATAAAATTCTTGAACACTATGTATCCTAGAATGAATAATTAATTATTAATTATTAATTATCAAACTTTTATTATTTTTAAAAGATATTGAATCTTTATTTCTTACAAGGTTGTATGGAAAACAGTTTTTAAATAATAGTTATTAATTTCTTATAATAATTCTTGAAAAACAAACAAAGGAAAAGGCAGAATCATGGAAAAGAATCATCAATCCTTTGTGAGGTTGCAGGAGAAATATAAAAAATAATTATTAATTATTGGAGAAATCAAAATTTAAAAATGGAAAATAAAAACATCTAAAAAAGAGAGAGAGATTATTTAATTTAATAGAAATGATACTCCGAGAATGAGGGCGGCAATTTCTATGTTTACTTGAATGGACTCTTAAGATTTCAAGACTTTTTACATAATTAAATGGGCAATGGAACCGAAAATAATAATAATAAAGGGTGAAAAACTTGTGGTTGATGTCAGAGCCCGCGCCGGACCATCTCCTCGGAGGACGTAATGATACTCAAAACAAACATGATTGCGAATTAAGAAAAGTACTTGTCAACAACCAGCCCAGGATGTGACTCTGCTGATTACCCTCCTCATGCTCACATGGCACATTTCATCATTTATGTTAAATTATGCAGAGCATCAGAGATATTGGTATGGTTTTTAAATTATTTTTTCTCATACCTTGAAATCATATTTCATATTTTTCATATTTTATGGTTTTTTTATATGTTAAATAATATTTTTTTTTATTTTTTAAAAATTATTTTTAAAATTAATATATCAAAACAATAAAAAAAATATAAAAAGATTCTTCCTTCCCTATTATTTTTCGGTTAATTTTGTGCTTGTACAAAAGGGTATTCATACGTTTCTTTTCTTGCCATTTCTTCTCTTATCCCAAAATTTTATAAAGTCCACGGAAGTCATTGGCATGGAAGTCTACACAAAAGTTAAAACTTTGATGACCAACCCGTTATGACTCGCAAGCTTGTGTGTGACATGCTTCCACAAAATATTCGGTAATTCACACATTAAATTGCCTTGCATCGCTTTCCCGAGGGCTCTATTTATATACTTGTAGTCCTCCAAGTTTTAGATTTGGTTCTTATAACTCCCTCTACTGTAGTTTTAGACATACTGGTCCTTGCACAATACACACTTTCAATTTATGGTCCACACGTAGCCCTTTCATCCACTTGTATGTTTGCACATGATAGGAAGCTAATGACCAAATATGACCACGATTGAACGTGTGAGGGTTGAAAAGCTTGAAATTAAAGTACATGGGTCAAGATTTCTAAACATGCTTTTAGGATGCTGGAGATAATGGTTATTTTTTACTATTTTTTTTTTAATTTTAATTTTAACATCAACATATTAAAATAATTAAACGTGTTTGGGATTATGATAACGTTTAAATTACTTTTTATTTAAAAATTTATGTGTTTGGGATTATGATAACGTTAACAGTTTAAATTACTTTTTATTTAAAAATTTATTAAAATAATTATTTTTTAAAATTATTTTTGGTATTAATATATTATATCAATATAAAAATAAAATTAATTTTAAATAAAAAAATAAAACTTTTCTAACATCTCTCCGAATATACTAGCGGTGCAGTTGTGGTTGTCTGTGTGGTAGCTTTCACAGGAGATGCGAGTTAGAGGCCACTCACCTATACTTTACCAACCATTGAAGCTTGGACGGTACTTCACCCATTAATTAATGATCATTGGATTTAAGGGAAGAAAAAGACAATTAAGTCCATATACAACCATCCAATCAAACCCTCATCAAGCAAAGCAAAAAAACGAAAGAAAAAAGAAAATTAAAGAGAGGATAGAATAAACTCTTAAAGTACAAGGACCAAGAAGGAGGAGACACACCAACTTCCCTTCTCCTCTTCCTTTGCTTATCTTCCAATCTTAAGCTCCTCGTTTTCATACTTTCTTTTTCTAATCCCACTTGCTTTTCCCCCTCCTCCCCTCTTTTCTTTTTTAGTCACAAGCTTTGTTTGTAAATATTCTGATGAAAGCATATCATGCAGGAACTGCTGCAAATTTAGAGGTGTACCAAGATTGAAAAAAGAAAAAAAATGAGTTCTACTACTGGCAACCAAAATCCTTGGGCACCATATAGTACCTATAGAGATTGCTCACAGGGAATCTGTAGCATTTATTGTCCCCAACGGTGTTACATCATTTTCCCACCTCCACCTCCTTTTACTCTTGGTGATGATGATTCGAATACTGATTTGTCTCCTCTTATTATAGCAGTTATCGGTATCCTGGCAAGTGCTTTCATCTTGGTAACATACTATACTCTCATATCCAAGTATTGTCGGCGGCGGGGCCAGGGAGATGGTGCCACTGATTTGAATGAAAACCATGATCAAATGGCTAGTGAAGCATGGCAAGGAATCCCTGCCGGTGGATTAGACGAGGCACTTGTAAAGTCTATCACAGTATGCAAGTACAAGAAAGGTGATGGTTTCGTTGATGGCACAGAGTGCCCAGTTTGTCTAAGTGAATTTCAAGAAAATGAGAGCTTAAGGCTCTTGCCGAAGTGTAGCCATGCATTTCATCTCCCTTGCATTGATACATGGCTCAAATCTCATGCAAGTTGTCCTCTATGCCGTGCCAATATTGCTCCGGCTAATATCTTGCCCATTGAAGCACCAGCTGTACCTGAGCCAGTCCAAGAAAATCTGCCAAGAACTAATGTTTCAACAATTCAATACCAGCATGGGACTAATGATGCTGTTTTAGTGATTCAAGATTTAGAAGGGAGTACTTTTGGGCAAGAGGGTGTTGTCAGTCCTGTTATCGGTGATGATACTCCCAAGACTCCGGTTAATCAAGATCTTGAAAGTTCGCAGACTGTTACGGAATTACAAATTAGCGATCCGATCCAACCACTTAGAAGGTCTGTTTCATCGAATTTTTCTCAAAACCACACATCTGTTGCTGATATATTACGCTCTAGTGAAGATGATGATGAGGGTAGTGATGATTACCGGAAGAATGGAGGAGGTGGGATCTTGGGTTTAGTTAGTGGTCCATTTGGAATGAAGAGATCCATTTCTACAGGAAGATTTACGTTCACAAGCTATGAGAAAGGTAGGAGTTCTATGATTCCCAATTGAGTATACAGTTTTCTCCTCATGTACAAACGTCATACATCGATTTCATTTCTTCTCTGTAACTAGTTAATTAAAACTCACCAATATAGAGATCTTGTGTTAATTCAAAATTTGACAGTACTTGAGATGAATTTGCAGCTTGATCCCGCCATTAGTTAGTTTTGATCAATTAATGGAGTTTGTGTTCTTGAAATGGACAACTGTTTGTGTACATGTTGCTACAATCTAATCTAATCACTCCAAATCTGGTTTTCAAAATCTTGGAAATCTTTATAGATTATGTTGTTAAGATATTGAATTTTATTACCTACATTTTCTCCTTTAATGAACATTAAACTTTCAACCATTCATAATCTGGAGATGGCATGAAGATCTTAAGCAATGCCAATAATTAATTGCAAGGAAAACAAACAAAAATGGAAAAGCCAAAACAAACTACGACGAGAGGCAGCCTTGCCACTATATTTAAAAACAAAAAAAATAAAAACACACGGCAAGATGACAGGCAAGTTGCAACAGATGAACATGTAGGGTAAAAGAAAAGTTAATTTGGCAGTTCCATACGCTAATTCTAGAGGTTACAATAATAGGACAAATAAAAATCTATGATAAACGATGAATTATCCTTCGTGACAACCTGGAGAAAGCTCCATTTTCTACAAGTAATGGTTTGAGGTTCACATGAGAGCTAATGGGTTTTGTTTTGAGTATTGGGCTAAAACTTAAAAAGAAAAAAAAAAAACCCTTGAACTATATAATACACGAGTTATTAAATATTTGGATTGAAACCTTCAAATTTCCACTATTTTGGTAATTAATATAATAAAAAAGTATTAAAATAATTGTTTAATGTTTATTATTTTTAC